TATTACCACATCTTTAAAAAAAATTATCATTTTTAAAAGAAACCTATGTACCAGTATGTTAACACTGGTTATTCTTGCTAGTATAAATGAATGTTGGTTATTTTCTTTGTGTTTGTCTACTTTTTCAAAATACAGGGTGAAGAGCAATTTAGAATTACATTAGTGCACGTTTCCAAATTAGAGTAATGCTTACGGACTACTTTTCCTTGCAGTATACAGACTGTTCTTATAAATGACTACACTGTAGTAGTCTCATTTATAAACTTTTATCTGTTTAGTACAAGAGATGATAGCATGTAGATAAACAGGTGTGGCTGTGTTCTAATAAAACTTTATTGACAAAAATGGGTTTTTTTTTTTTTAGTTTGCAGACATCTTTTGGCAACATCAGTTTTGCAAGTTGTCATTAAGAAGGGAAAGCTTACAACTAAACTTACTCATGAGTATATGCTGTTTTGCCCCATGTGTGTGAAAGGTGTTCTCATTCTCTTTCTTACCATTGCTCCCATAGATGCTGCATAACATGAAAGGACAGTTTGCTGAACACCTTCTTGGAGCTGGATTTGTAAGCAGTAGAAATCCTAAAGATCCGAAGGCTAATATAAATTCAGGTAAAACTGGAAGCATAGTGTCAGTAACTTGCCATTTTGTCCATTACCTTGGTATTTTACTTTTTTTTTTTCCTACCCTTCCATTCACAATAGATAATGAGAAGATAATTAAAGCTGTCATCTGTGCTGGTTTATATCCCAAAGTTGCTAAAATCCGACTAAATTTGGGTAAAAAAAGAAAAATGTAAGCATTGAAGATTATTGTGAATTACATGTAATTCTCTCTAAATTCTTGAAATCCTCCGCTGTAACATGGTTTTTATTCTAAATTTGCTCTTATATTTGGGCCTTATTTATGATCACTTAGAAGAAAGCAAACTTACGTATCACTCCTGCACAACACATCCTTGGAGTTAGCTATCCTATCACTCATTCACAGGGAGTGTTTATAATACTTACATATGAATGTTAGGAAAGCTACCTAGCTATTAAAAACCAGTACCTAGATGGAAGCTAGAACAGATTTAGTTTCAATTTCTGCCTTAGATGGAGGGACCAGGGATCGATCCTGGGTCTGGGCATGCCATGCTGGCCCCGCCCTCTGGCACGCTCTGAGACAGCTATTGAGACCGGGTATGGTGGGGCGCCCCTGTAATCCCAGCACTTGGGAGACTAAAAACAGGAGAATCGCTATGAGTCTGATTTGTGTAGTGAGACCCTGTAGACCCTGTACTAAATACATTTAAAAACAAAAAATTTATGCCTTTATGAAATGAATATTTTTGTAATCATTCTTACAATAAAATTGTACTTTAACTATTTTAAGAACTAAAGTATATCTACTAAATTCTGCACAAAAAACCCTTGGTAGTAACGAGATGAAAAGACATAGTTCAACTTAGTAACTAAGCTGATTCTAGTTAAGGGTACAGAGATATTAAAAGTCACCAGCCTTTTGGAAGGTAGTTTAGTGGCTCAGTTCATTGTTTTGTACATATTTTAAGAACTACTGTCCTAAGAAAATAATTCCAATTTTTTTTTTTTTTTTTTTTTCCTTTTCTTAGTGGATCCAGGGATTGAACTCAGGCCCTTATGCTTGCCAGGGAAGCGCTTATCTTACTGAGCCATCTCCCCAGCCCCCCAAATATTTTTAACAGTTGTATATATCTAGTAGCAAGAAAAATTAGTGATATAATTCCATATTTATGATATTTCTATAGGTAGATATTGAACACTCATTTTGTGGTAACATAAAATATTAGACCTGATTTTAAATCAAAATATTGGGTTCTCTGTAATTGTAAGCATATGAAAGATAGACCAACATGCAGTACTTTGTTCTGCAGTAGTGGTTTTCAGTGGAAGTGACCAACCTCCCACTTTAACCCCCCTCTACTACCACAAAGTATTTGATCGTTCCTGGTAATATTTATATGGTTGTCATAATGGGTAGTGTGATGGGGCCAGGGATACTGTTAGACTTTCCATAATGTACAGGCTGTTCCATACAGCTAAAAATTGCCTCATTCAGTGTCTGTAGTGGTAAGATTGAGAACCCTTATTTTAAGGTATAAGATTAGGGGTAGACAAAGGAATTTATTCATGTTTGAGCTTTCCATATTTAAAGTTGAAAATACCTTTTTGACATTAACACTTTGCCAGATTGTTTTTTGCTTTACATCCAGCTTTATATGAGGTACTGCCATCCTGCGAGGGCTCTATGAAAAATATAGCTTTCTTTGGATTGGTGCTTTACTTTGGTCTAGAGTATAAGGGGTGAGCCAATTTTGGCTTATAGGTTTATAAATTTTGCAGTGAATATCCATCCATTCATTCATGTGTTATCTGCTGCTTTCTGCTTTCCTCTACTCTAAATAGGGTTGGGTATTATGACAAATTGTAGAGCTCTTAAAGTTCAAAGTACTGTATCTGGTCCTCTATAGAAATTTGGCTACTAGCAATTTGTAGGTTGAAATATATCACAATACATTTATTCCAAATATTTCTTTTTCAAATTGGAAGATTTATGTATGGTACTACTAAAACATTTTAAAAATAGATTCTTTTAAGTCACTTTTGCAAAAAAAAAATTTTTTTTTTAATCCTCAGTTTTTAATTTTCTATTCTGGATATACTGTGAAAATTTTAAATTGATCATTTTGTGGAGTTACTCTGTAAATTTAGGACTTTTTAATACTGTTGTATTTAGATTGTTCTATTGGTCTGAATCACTTAATTATTTTAGATGTTGATTTCATTCTTTTATCCTTAGTGATGTAGTATATGTTATTCAAGGAATATTCTGTCATTTTCCAATATGTTGAATAATGGGATTAGTTATGATTGGGTACTCATATTTAGTCATACCTGATAATTTTCCTTATATCATTAAGAAATATATTTTTTTCAAATATAAACTGTTAAATTTATTCTTTGCAAAAATGAATGTAGCTGTAGAGGTTTTTGGTTTTTTTTTAGATTCTGTGGTTTATTTCCTTTTTCCTAAGTTTTCTATGTTAGGCTTTGAGACATTGAGGACAAAATTAATGCCTTAAAAAATTTCTTACAACAAACTGCTTGTTAACTTTTATAAAGGGTGAAAGTTCATACAAAAACGGATGGGCTGGTTTCTATTCATCCTAAATCTGTTAATGTGGAGCAAACAGACTTTCATTACAACTGGCTTATTTATCACTTGAAGATGAGAACAAGTAGTGTAAGTAAACATTTGAAATTATTATGGATATGAACTGTCACTTTCTAATATGTGTATGTGTATCAGTAATTGTATATTTTTAATTGCAAGCATTTTTTTCCGACATAAATTATAACTTTATTCACTAAGCAGATAACTTATTTTTTTTATGTTACAATGTGCTTTGATGATCTTTGTATTGTCTATTAAAATTGGACTTTTATTTAGCTTATGTGATTCCTACTTTTAAACAGTTTTCAATAATTACTAACCTTTTATTTATTTACTTAGTTTTTATTGATGTTTTAGAGCCAGGCATCATGATGGACACTTGAATCCCTGCACTAGGAAGGCTGAGGCAGGGCGATTCTTGTGAGTTCAAGGTCAGCCTATACTGTATAGTGAGTTCAAGGCTGGCCTGAACTATACAAAAAACTAAAAAAAAAATTAAAAAAAGGAATTCCTGGCATTTTAAGCCAGGTGTAGTGCTGCACACCCACCTGTCACCCCAGCATACTAAGGGACTGAGGCAGAAGGATTGCAAGTTTTGAGCCTATCTTGGGTAATTTTGTGAACTCTTGTGTCAAACTAAAAAGGACTAGGATTGTAGCTCAGTTCTAAGGCCCTGGCTTTCATCTCTAGTATCACTCCCCCTCACAAAAAAAAAAAAAAAAAAAAAAAAAAAAAAAAAAAAAAACAACCCTAGCATTTTTACAGTTTAGAGGAGTTCATAGTATGTAAAGGATTTTGTTGGTGTTTCAGTATTCATTTTGTAAGTATAGGTCAGAATATTAAGTAAGATTCTGTTCATTTTCTACTGTAGAAGATGAGATGTTTAAAAATATCTTGAATATACACAAAAATTTCAGCTATAGTGTTATCATTTTGACACAGAAATGTTTTTTTTTTTTTGGCTGGCTCAGCATGCCTTAAGGGCAGGTCTGAAAAGGCTTGCGGATCTGGGTATGAACCGCAGTATCCTGCGCCTGTTGCGTTTGCATAAGCAGGTGCTTAAACAACTGAGCAAACCAGCAGACCCCTGTGGATTTTTTTTTAGAAAATCTTACTTAAAAAACTAATGGTATATTTCAAGTTAAAACAAAATATAAAACCTCTGTGTTCTCCAAATAAAGAATGGTTCCTTCTAAAATATTCAGAGTTAATCTTCATAGTTTACTAGCCAGCTGTCATGTTCTCACCAGCTTGAGCCACCTTGAACATGCAGGACTGTTCAAGGGCAGCATGAGCAGTCACACCTGTAGCACTGGTGATTCAAGCAGGCAACACATGTTGAATACAACACATTCACCTTGGAGCTACCTGACAGCAAGCCATAAGAGCTATGGCTCCTGGGCTGGCGATTGTTCAGCAGACTAAGTGCCTGCGTAGGCAAGCACAGGGACCAGGCATCAGTCACTCGCACCACATGCCACTGTGGCCCTGCCCCTGGGTGTGCTGAGCGGGCCACCAAGACTAGGAGTGGTGGTGCATGCTTTTAATCCCAGTGCTGGGAAGGCTAAAAACAGGAGGATCACTAGAAGTCTAAGCTGCATAATGAGACCCTTTACCACATAAATATTTTTAAAAAGCTATGGCCCTATCTTGGACATTTTGATACTCCTTTTAGAAGGAAGCTACTAAAAAGATTAATGTGGGTGATACTGTTAATGTAGTAATGATCCTTTTGCACTCCTGAATGTAAGAATATGCTTTACTTTTTATTACAGATATACTTGTATGACTGCACAGAAGTTTCCCCATATTGTCTCCTGTTCTTTGGAGGTGATATTTCCATCCAGAAGGATAATGATCAGGAGACTATTGCTGTAGATGAATGGATTATATTTCAGTCTCCAGCAAGAATTGCCCATCTTGTTAAGGTGACGGACAACATAGTTCTCTTTCAATTTGCATACAAGTGAGCATATGGCCTTGTGGCTTTGCTACCAGGTTTTGATGTGTTAGCCATTTTTTGCTTTATTTCAACAGAGAAAATGATGTTAAGAGATTGATTTTGACTTTCTTCAAATAACTTTTTGAGGAATTAACAGACCAACTGCTTTACATGATCATTGTGATTAAAGATTGAATTTTTTACAGAATGGTACCAGCTAAAAAAAAAAGGCACTTTTATTAATTGCTTAATTTGACAATGTATCAGCCTTTGTTGACTGTATAATTTTTCCAAATTTAGGACTTAAGAAAGGAACTAGATACCCTTCTGCAAGAGAAGATTGAAAGTCCTCATCCTGTGGATTGGAAAGACACTAAATCCAGAGACTGTGCAGTACTGTCAGCTATTATAGACTTGATCAAAACACAGGAAAAGGCAACTCGCAGGAACTTCCCACCACGAGCCCAGGATGGGTATTACAGCTGACAACTCCTGTGGTGCACTGAGAAGCCAAAATATCAGCTATTTTTACCATAGTTGGTTGTTTGCTAAATGCCAAACCTTAAGACATAATTTTCAAATGTAAGGTAGAAACCTTTAGAAGATAGTAAAGATTTAATGTGCATGACTTAACAGTGTCGTCTGTAACTATTATAAATATACTATAAAAAGCAGTATGTTCTCTGATCATGTCTTCTGTTGTGGTCATGTCCATACTTCGCAAGTATTTCTCTTGTATGTGTTGAATTTTGTACCATAGAGAAATTCTTTTGTTCATTATATGAAATTAATTTTTTGCTCGTGAACATTAAGTTTAGGATCAGTTAAAAACAAAATGGTTAGCCAAAAACTGTCAGAGTATCAGGTTAAGAGTCAAAAGGCAACCATGTTGTTGTTGTTTTTTTTTTATAAGAAACTTTTATCAGAAGTAAATTGTAATAAAGCCCAATATTTAATAAAATGTACAGTGTGTAAATCTCTGCTAATTTCATGGCGTGGTTTCTACATCTTCACCTATCTTTATTTCGTGTTTTTACTATTTAAATAGATACACAACCCTTTTCATTGCCCTTTGCCACACAAAGCAGCAACTAAGCATACAAGTCTGGAGTCTGATTATCCAAGACCCAGGCTCCACTCATTCACTTACTAAATGTCTTGGGCAGGTTCTTTCCTTATCTAAGATACACATAAAAATTTTGGGGATTAAATATGTTAATACATGTAAAGTACAAAGACTAGTGCCTGATCCTGAATTTCAGTGAATCTTAGTTATTATTTGTTCTTGAATTTGTAAAAAATGTATAATAATCTGTTGTATTATTTTTCAGTCATTTACCTTCTTAGCCAGTGGAATCTAGTGGAACATGGACTGTATTTTCAGTGCAAATGGTGACAAATATTGTTGGTTGCTTTTTAACAGGTATTTTATCTCTTCCTTCTTGCTTTCTTGTTTCAAGTATCTCCACCTTTAGACAACCTCGTTTCCAAGGATGCTGGACCTCTGCCCAGAAATAATCAAGCTGTTAGGAGCCAGTTATGTGGTCTTTTTGTCCCCTTAAAAAGTGGAACACTGTGACTACATGAATGCATCTGTCTTGCCAGGGGCAGTTGAGAAGCAATCTTCAAGGGGATTTCTGAGAAGGATTTTTCTTATTAATAGACTTAAAGGAAGAAACTGCTCTCTTAGGGCATTGTCTTGTCTGAATCTGATGTTTGGACTTTATGTAACCACAAGAGAACAAAGAACCATATCCCCAGGATGGCTCAATGAAAAGGTGGACCTGACCAGAGTCCCTCCCTGATAATGGTGGAGAACCACAGAATCAACTAACTCTACAATTGCCATGTGTGTGGATATACTTTAATCTGTCCTTCATTGTTTAAGCCACTTTCAAAGGACATGCTTAATGTAGCAGAGATGAGATTAATGCATTTGCTCAAGCCTCTTCCTACCGTTGTATTATGTTATATAACAATTTGGATTCTTAACGTATAATGGTAGTATTATTAGATATATTGCAGTGGCAACAGGAATTACATCCTGCTGTACCATAAATACAAATTAAAAAAATACAAATTTTATTTTGCCTTCCAATTAATGCAAGGAAAAAAAGGAATTAGAGCATCATACAATGATGAGGATGTATTGATGGTGCAACACTAATCTGTTAACACCACTGGTTCAGGTCCTGCTTCTGCTTCTAGAAATGAATGTCACCTGTCTGTCATTGCCTACCAAGGCAATGTACTGTTTGTCCTATGTCTGTTTTGCTCATCTTCCAAAAGTGATCTTCACTGAACTGTTTCATTGAAGCATGTTGAGACATTGTAGTGTATTAGTTTTGCTCTGGAAAACACGGTGACCATCAGTTCCTACTTGCACTGTACTAGTATTTAAGTTTGTGCTTTTTATTAATCCATTTTAAATTCATAGTCATTTGGCCTAAACAGAAGATTCTTTTTTGTGTGTGTGTATGTAATTAATACAGGGTCTCACTATGCAAGATCGGACTTGTGGTGATCCTTCCTGTTTTTTAGCCTCCCAGGCAGTGGGAAGTGGGATTACTGTCTCGGTGCACCCTGGGGCCGGGGGCCCGGTCCAGCACAGCAGGTCTGGCCTCTGCGTCTGCCTAAGCAGGTGCTTCTGCTGAGCTATCTATCAGGCCAGCTGAAAGATTCTTTAGGGAAAAATAAAACATTGCTTGTTTCTGTGTTTGCAGTGGAAATTCATGAAGAAGTGTTCCTAAAGAGTTAATAAATGAAGTATCCATAGAGATCAGATACTCAATTTGTATGCACTCTACTAATTAGAATGAAAATTTTAGTCGAAGATACTACATATTTCTTAATTCACTGTAGAAGTTACTAATTGTAGAAAACCTTTTAAAGGAATTTATTTTATTACTTTCTAACCCAGAATACATAATGGTAAATTTCCATCCTTGGCTCTGGGTATATATTTTTATGTAACCGAGGTCATATTGTCTAGTCATGTATTCATAATACGTGAATTGTTAAGTGACTATAAAACAATGTAACTTTAAAACAGTACATCTTCATTGGATATTTTGGAAATTCAAAGTAAATCATGTTACCATTGTTACATTTTTATATTTTTTGTTTTTTAATGTAATATATACATACATAAAGAAGTTAACCATTTCAAATGTATAATTCAATGTTGTCAATTCTATAAAGTTACATCATCGATACTATAACATGCTTTTAAATTTTTTTGTGTAATGTCTTTTCCCCCTCAGAAACCTGAAAACTGTTTCCTTTTGCAGGCAATTCCTTTGTCCCACTTTGCTCCATGACAACTCTGAATCTGCTCTTTTTATTGGTTTTTCCTTTTCTAGACTTTTCAGTACATGGAATCATAGAGGTTCTGTGTCTAGCATCTTCCTCTTAAATCTTGGGATAACTCATGTTATTGTATATACTAGTAATTTGTGTTTAGTATTTCATTGTTTTCATTTGTTCTTTTACTAATTGATGGATATTTGACATTTTTTTTTTTTTTTGCTGTTACAAATAAAGCTGCTATGATTGTGATTATTTTCACTCCTGTGAATACCTAAAATTGCTTGCTTCATCCTATGCAAGTGTACATAAGAAATCCCCAGACTTCACAGAAGTGTGCTATGCATCTTTGCATTCTTAACAGCATTGTATTGGGGGGGGGGTCCAGGTGTTTCATGTCTTTGCCAGTACTTGCACTTTTTTGGATTTCGGTGGTTTTCTTTTGGAATTCTCTTCACTTTGGTTTTAATTTTTACTTCAGTGATTAATGATCAGACATTTTGTCTGGTCTGTGTGTTTTACTATTCTACCTCATATGTTAGGGGTTTTAAAAGGATTCTTTTTTTTTTTGCAGAACTGGGGATTGAACTCAGGCTCTTACACTTGCCAGGCAAGCGCTTATTCTACTGAGCTATCTCCCCGGCCCCAAAAGGATTATTTAGTTTAAGCAGAAAGTTACATTCTTTGGCACTGAAAATAGCTGGACATATTTGTCAGGTCTAATATGCAAAGTGGTAAGCCATTGAGATGAAGTGCAGAGAAAATGGCACCAGTTGTAGTTATAATGGCAAGAGGTTGCATATTTACCATGGAAGTGAAAGATAAGGTTTGAGAAGAAACTTAGTATTAAAAAAGCCATGAAACACCTGATAGGTAAGCCCTGCAGGGTCAATCTGTACTGTGGATGATGGGATCCAAACCAGTCCTGTTGAGTTAGGGAACTTTACCCTTTTTCTTGTTCTTAAATTTTATTCATGCCATGGTATGGTCCTTCAAGAAAAATTTTCCAAGATAGTGGTATATTTATAAATCCTTGCAGAGTATTTCATTTCTTTCTACACGTCCTTCAGTATTTTCATTGCTTGATTTTTGCTGTATCTTCCATTCATCCGATTTTTTTTCAACAACCATTTGTCATTTTTAAGCTGGATAATTTCATTATTTTTGGTTATGAATTGTTTTATTAAATTAAGCAAAGATGGAGTAGATGTAACATTTTTAGACTACCTGAACTAAGTACAGGTGGTATCTAACATACTAGGCCTCTTTTTTTTTTTTTTTTGGATACTGGGGATCAAACTCAGGACTTTGTGCTTGCCAGGCAGGCACTTATATCTCCCTGGCCATTAGGCCTTTTTAAATTCAAATCAGTTTATCAGACTTAAAACTATCTGCTCTCATATCAATAAATCAATGTTCAGCCGGAGAGATAGCCCAGTAGAATAAGCGATTTCCTGGCAAGCATAAGGGCATGAGTTCAATCCCCGGTTCTGAAAAAAAAAAAAAAAAAATCATCATGATAAAAATGATACAGTATGAATGATTTGAGCCCTAGTCTGCTGGGTTTTTTCACGTATCTTGACTTCTAAATACCTTTTATATCAGTTAATGTAACCATTTGTATTCTAATGGTTAGGAAATGAACCACTAGTTATGGTGGCTTACAATGAGTGATTTGCCAATATGACACAAACCTCTCGTTCTTTTTTTGGGGGGGTGGTTTCTGGGAGTGGAACTCAGGACTTCACTTTTGCCAGGTAGGTGCCTCGCCACTGAGCTAAATTTCTTAACTGCATTCTTGAAATAGGGATTCAAGTACAAGCCCATGTGACAGAAGTCTATAATTCTTTGTAAGTATTGCTGGATGTGACTGGCAATATTTTTAATGAAGATTTTGCCATTCTTTTCATGAAAGATACCAGTTTAATTTAGCTTTGTACAGTAAAACTGGCCTCAGTGTGAACTGGACATTACTTAACCTGAAATGTTTAGAATTCTCTAACAAAGGCATTCATATTTAGAAACTAGGAAATTTTAAATTTTTGAACGACATTTAATAGCTACAGTATTGTCATTGTTGTACTAGTTCATGATTCTTGATTTCTAATTTCTAGACTTGAATTTATGCAGTGTTGATTATAATATCCCTTTCTTAGCCATTTGATAGAAGCTGCAGTGATACCTTTTAGTTTTGATGTAATTTTTTTTTTTTTTGGCAGTTTGCTAACAAGTGTTATCAGTCATAATCCTTTTTTTTTTTTTGAAAGTCATCTGTTCCACACTTTTCTGTTTGATTTTCTGCTTTCAATTTCTGTACTTGCCCCCTTCTTCCTTTTAATTCTGTGGGTTTATTATTTCTGCTTTCAATTTAGGTGTAAATTTAGTTTCTTCTTTGTTTACATAAGTATTTTGTGTTATAAATTTAAAAACTGCTTTAGCAACATCCTACATATTTTCATGCCAATCAGCCAACATGTTTTTAATTTTCATATTTATATATTTTACTCTTTGATCTCTAAATTGTTTAGAAACGTGTTGTTCAGTTCCAAGTGTCTGGAGACTTTGTTAATTTATAGTTCCATTGTAATTAATTCACACCAGTACAAAGACAAATATATACAAAATCTTTATAAATGCACAAAATTTTTAAAGTGTACAAGCAACTCTATTTATTGGAACAAAGTTGGCATTTTTGTTTTCCATGAATGAAGTCACTATAGTTCAGAGACAGTGTTCAAAGAAACAAAACTAGCTTTGAAACATACTGTCATGTTAAAAAACAATTCTGGGTTGAAATGAAATGTTGTGAATAGTATTAATTACTGCATTTTATCTAGTAGCTGTATTAATCTACTTGCTAAATAAAGTTTTGGTTTGTGAAATGCATATACTTCCAAAACTATTTAACACTTGCATTATAAATTAATTCACAGGATTCATATTTTTTAACTTCAACTAATTATTAGCAAAAATAATACAAAATGATCACCTTGCACGCAACAAATTTCCCTTCCTTTGTAAATAAAACCTTATAATTTCTTAGCTGTTTTTCTAGAAAGTTAGTGACATTAAAAAGACAGACTTCCTGTTGTACAAACACCAAGAGCCCTGCTGCTGTAATTGCTGTTGCTTCACCTACGTATATACAGGTAAAAGCAGTCCAAGAGTGAGAAGTCTACTGCCAGGTAGAGGGGTGCACGGCGTAATAGGCACACTTCTCTAAGCACAGGGCTTCTGTGATCTTATGTTTGCCTTACTGGTTAAATCTTGGCTGGGACAGTATTTTGGAGGCTGCCAGATTTTAAGTCATTTTTGAGACTAGAGAGGGAGCATTCGGTAAAAATCATTTACGCTGTCCCAGACTTCCAAACTCTCACTACCTCTTCATTAGACCTGTTACAACTGTTAACCTGCCCTAGTGGAAGAAATGAAGTTCTGCAGATACTGACAGTAAGATCCCCAACTCAGCAAGCAAGGATTTCTACGTGCGACTAGAATAGATTTGCATTAAGGTCCAACTATTTCAAGTAGGTATTATGTTGACTTCTGGGTGATTACTAAGGCTGCATTTTCCCTTTCTTGAGATTGTTAAAGTATGTTCCATCTGATTTCCCATTTGTAGATAAACAGAGAACAGTAAGAATCTTGCATTATTAAAGGCAAAGCAGCCTCATGTCAGTATTTTATTAGCTTAACAGCTCACTTGGTAATATTAAAAAAAAAAAAAAAAAAAAAAGAACCCTGACCAATGTTCAGGATTTTCTACTATGTGAGCCATCTAAATTCTATGTTAAAGTAGCATAGGTTTATGAGGCTATGTTTATCTAAGACCGACATTGTATGAGATGGATTTAAAAAAACCAAGAAATGGCCTACCAGACAGCTCAGTAGATTAAAGTGCCTGCTTAGGCAGAGCGCAGTGTCCAGGGTTTGATCCCCGGTCTCTGTGCTGGCCTCACCCCTGGGGCTTGCTGAGATAGCATTTGAGACTAGGTGTGGTGGTGCACACCTGTAATCCCAGTGCTTGGGAGGCTGAAAACAGGATTACTATGAGTCCAATTTACATAATGAGACCCTGTAGACCCTATACTAAGTACATTAAAAAAAAAAAAAAATCAAAAGGGGCCTCACTTTCTCCATCTAATGAAAATGGGAGAAAATTCAAGTGTCAATGTCCCTTTCCTGGGAAGTGATTTAGGAAAATCTGACAGCTCACTTCTGAACTCTCATCAGTTCCTTTTAAAATTATAACTTTAGACTCAGATGTTAAAAAAAATAGGAAAAACATATTTACAAAACTAGGCATTCCTTAAATACAGAATCTTGCTAATACTTGGAAAACCACATAAAGATGTTTAAGGGGGATAGTAATGTTCTTAGCAAAATAAGACAATCAGGACACAGCCACATACACATAAATTATGCCAGAATGCAATGGAAGTAGGTGCTCTTTAAGAGTCTGTCTGAGCCCTGAAGTGGGGGCTCTGAGGATCCAAAGAGGTTCTTCAAGGGGCTATCGCGTGAGAACTGAGTTTTGTGAATTTACTAGCTGTTCTTTGGAGAGCAGACATCTTGGCAAGTTTAAAGGCAAGTGTTTTTATTTTTTTTATTTAAATAGGTGGTGATGAAGTTAACGGTACAATCAGTCCACCATTGTGTAGTGCAAATCTTGCAGTAACAGAATGCTGTCTCAGAGGTTACACATTGGTCTCAAGTCCTAGCAAACGTCCCATTCTCTCCACATTCTTGTCGATTATAGCTTGACATGTTATCTCCTTAGCACATTCCATAGGAAACCAGCCCCTTTCTCCATCTCGAAGTCGCTCCCCCTCATACCAGCCTGCAAAGAAAAACAGAGTTGGCCTCAAAAAGAAGTGTATCTGGAGGAGTGTTACTGCACTGTGCTTTCAGGAGGAGGTGAGCAGAGCTCAAGGGCAGCATCTCAGTGCATGCTGGGTACCATGTTTGGTGAAAAGTGAGAAGAGTCTGATGTAAGAAAGGTAAGAGCAGGTGAACTTGGGTAGGGATAACAGAAAAGAAATTTCCTTTTGAAAGCAAGAACTTCGGGGTTGAAAACTAGATCACTGGGAAAATGAAAAGAAAACTTTTTTTTTTTTTTGTGGTACTGGGGACTGAACTCAGGACTCTGCAAGAAAACCTTTCATGGTTCCTCTTGAATAATGCCTGTGACTGTATCCCCAATCCAAAAATAAATGTGCTAGATAAATGAAGAGATGTATGAAAAATAGGAAAACTGAAGGAAGGTACAAAAAGAAAAAACAGGATAAATGTTTTTGAATCTATCAATGTCCTTAAATACACCTCTGAAAGTCATCTTTAGGACTCTGAGAAGGCCCTGCTTTGGGAAGTGAAATCCTAGGAAAGAAAAAAATAAGAATGGAGAAGTAAAGCTGGTCATATAGCTGAAAAAGCAGTACATGTGAGTTAGTTCAGACATTAATGTGTCAGGATTATGGGATATGAACATTAATAACAAAATAAGATTTCTAGTGTCTATAGGACTTGAGTGCTGGCCACAGGTCCCTCAAAAGAACACACCTACTCACCATCTCCTACATGCTGATAAACGAGGACCACATCCGCTACCTGCAGGGAGAGTTCGTCTGGTTGCTTGGCAGTGAACGACCTAATGATTTCCACCTGGGTCAGTGCTGTGGGGGCAAGGGGACATGCTCAGCTCCCAGGGGCAGAGGAGGAAGGAAACAGACACAAAGGAGCACTGTGCATTAACTCAGTTCTTCTGAGCAGCTTGGAGCTGACACTGACAGAATAAGGTAGGTTTCTGCCAGGAGGGTAGAAGATCTTTTCTAGGAATTCTCTTGTTTGGCTACAAGCTTTAGAATTATAGAAGTTCAGATTCAAAAGTTCTTTCATGGTGCATGAATAGCCTGAATGATAGCTTTGATCAGCAGTCATCAGTCATGTCACACACTGGCACAGAAGGCAGCCATTGTGCGCTGGGGAAACTGAGGCAACTGACAGTAGATGGTATGTCAAGACTCATGACAAAGTCAGGAACAGCTCTCATCCAGAGTGTGCCTCCCCTCAGCAGCAGGGGTGTGTGCCATTTGGCGATCTTCAGTAACAACATAAGCACCAGGGAAAATTTTACCAGGCGCTTTAGACCTCCCCCCCATGCCAAAGTATAACATAAAAAATTAGTGACTTGGTACTGACCCACATGATTTTTAATGTAAAAGTTGGTCAAGCCAATCACTTTGGCTTGGACATCAAGAGCTATGAGTTTTGAACACTCCAAGATAGCTTTCCTGCTCCAATCCTCTTTGTTGACCTTCCAGCTACGATCACCAGAGTACATCAAAGTTAAGGAACTGAGAAATAGTCCAGGCACCAACATGTACTACAATAGTCCCTAGTTCTTTGACAGAACAAAATATACTTAAAGGTCAAAAGGAACAGTTAAGTGAGTTTCTTTAGGTTGAAAACTTTTAGACTACTGATCGAAGGCTTAAATTTACAATAATTTCCCATTGCTAACAATAAAAAATTTAAGAGCTTTGTAGTTTAAACAAGGCTTTCATAATACATAATTTACCTTAATCCTCACAATAACCCCACTTTCTATATAAAATGATGTGCCAGACTTTCAGATAATTAAACAAGTTTAGGAAGGCTAAGCAAAAATTTGCCATGTTTACATAACAAACATGAACTGTATCGGATCTGAATTGAGATCGTGATTTTCAAAGTAGGGATCACCAGCTCTGTTATAAAGGCAGAAGGCCAGAAACCTTGGAGGAAATTTAGGAAGCGAGGACCGTGGTGACACACATCGCGTCCAGCAGGGGGCAGAGCACCTCCATGCCCGAGCAGAGCACCCCTCAGGTACTTACAGGTTCGGTCTGGAGGCTGCTTCCCACTCCTGTGTCCGAGGGCAGTGATCCAGCGGGCACGTTCACTCCTAAACAAGAGGGCAGCATCAGCTGAAAGAGTCAAAGTGTTCAAACACCGAACGAGGATGTCCTGGATCTCCAGGACAAACGGTTCCCAGGGAACGCCAGAGAGATCCCAGACCAGACTGGTGTTTAAGACAAACCTAAGAATCATTTCAAAGCAACAGCCTGACAAGAGGCAGAAAATAGGAAGAAAAGTATTCATCGTGTTAAAAGATTAAAAATAAATTTGGCTAGTTATTGATTGGATGAGATTTCTCATGTAACAGTTCAGACATTTAATCAAATGATTATGATTGCAATCACAAATGGCTATATAGCAACTCAACATTTTAATCTTTCTGTCTGTCTCTCTTTGAGACTGAGTCTTGCTATATAGTTCAGAACTCACTTTGTAGCCCAGACTGACCTACTGGTGATCCCCCTCCTCAGCCTCCCAAGGGAGGGACTGAGGGAAGGAAATTAAAAGGAATTAAGGGGCACCAGCCCCCCCCCCCACAATACATGCAATCATTATGCACTACACACATATACTAATCAAAATAAAAATTTTAAAAGTTACATATTAAAAAAATAAAGTTTCTTGTTCCTGTCACTGCATCATGGCTCATCTGCTCGTCGATAACCACTTTCCATTTCATCCAGCTATGCCTTCTCCTTACTGCCATTTAAAGATTCTTGTTGTTGAGAGAGAACATTACCTAGTAAACTGCATTCATAGGTGTATTCAGCTCTGTCTGCTAACTTACTGGTACCCAAATGAACCTGCCACCAGTCAATAACCAACTACTCCGGTCCAAGGGCAGCTGCTGCTGAGACCTGTCACCACAGAGGAAGCTTGCCTCTTCTGTACTTGGAATCCAATAGCACTATACTTTCACATGTGTTTTTTTTTTTCCCCAGTATATCCACTGAGGATTGAAAACACAAGCCTCACCTCCAGGTGGCCACCGGGGATATGTATGCCTATACTCTCCCCCTTGGCCCAGCTGGGTTATCCTATCTCTGAGGAACCCCTCTGCACAGCTCTGTCTCATGGCATCAGGGGTAAGCTGCACAGATTCAGCTACCCGATCTGTCTGATTCACCACATTATCTCCCACGCCTGGGCTGGCACTGAACAGGGGTCTTAGTAAAACTCTGCTAACAAAGGACTCATAGCACTTATTACACATGGAACACAGATCGTGCATTCACTCTTCTGCTTCTCCTACCACGTTACAAACCTTGGCTGGGCAAGAATTAGGTCTTGTTCTAAAAAAAATGTATGAAGGGGCTGGTGAGATGGCTCAGTGGTCTAAAGCACCTACTTAGAACAAGCTTAGCAAAGCACATGGACCGCGGTTCAATCCCCCAGCACCACATGCCAGCCAGCCCCGCCCCCTGGAGGGCTGAGCTGGCCACACACACACACACACACACACACACACACACACACACAAATAAATACAAATTAAAAAAAAATGTATGAAGCCCTATGTGTTGGGTACGATGCCAAATAATTTATAAGTATCACCTCATGTATTCTTTACAACAAACTTGGAAAGAAAAATATTAGAATTTTTATCTCCAATTTTAAAGCAGATTTAAGGAGGTAAGCACCTACTCTCCAGCAATATGAAATCAAGGAGGTGGTGTCCCCAAATAGGTGCTTATAAAATAAAGGCAAGAAGGGTAGGAACCAGTATGCTGAAGCAAACCTACTTAAAAAATAAAATAAGGCTGGGCCCTGTCAAGTCGGTGTGTCAAGTAGTGATAGGCACAATTATATACGCAACTGATACTACCTTGCTTTTAAAAATGTTGATTCTCCTGAATACCAGGCCAAGTGCTTTTATAAGGCAAGAGTAAAGTACAACTTCCTTTAAAACAATGTCCAGGCAAATACTTTTATCCTTGTGTCTTTTTGTCAGGATAAGATCTATATTATACTCAGGCTCAACTGGAATTTCCAAAATACAAAGACAATTAAAATGAAATAATACTGCACAGTCAGAAACATTGTTCAACCAGAGACATCAGCATGATCCATTAGTGTTTCTGTATGCAAAGTTAGGCTCATCCTGGGATTACTGCTGTGTCCTTGCATTCCCAGAACCCTTTGGAGCAACCTGGAGCCAGGCCTTGCACACACAGCTTCCCAAGGCCTAGCTTTTCTAGCAGTCCATGTGAAATCTTTCATGCCTGTGGCACACTGCCTGGATGCTAATGGCAGCCCTTGGACACAGCAGTCCCTTGCACAGATTCCAGAGGATAGAACAAGACACTCCTTGTTGCCCTTGCTGAAGGAAGGGCTTCTTGAAACTGTTTCAATTGAGTCAGTCTCACCCCTTCTTAGAAGCTGTCAAACCTCACGACTTCCCCTGGGGCTTCTAAGAGCCCTGCCAAGGAGCTCCCTCCCACCACAAAGCCCAAAGCACTGCATCTCTACAGTAGGGAGAAGACTCACTCATTGTAGGACAGGATTCTAAGAAACAGAAAAAGTGGGGCATGGGCATCCCCATTATTAAATTTAGTTATCAAGTCCACCATTGATTCAAAGACATCTGTTATGTCTGGGGATGTCACGAGACAATAAATAAGAATTTGGAACCTATCTCATACTCAGATCAGACTTTTCCCAAAGTGATAAAATAAGAAACACTGCACTAACATACATCGATACATGCCACACATCAGCTTTCTTCAACCAGCGCCAGCATTCCCTGAGTGCACAGGTTCTGTGCTAGGCTGCGGTTGCAAAGGGGATAAAATGAAGTTTCATGCTCTTCACAACTCTCAAAATGAAGGGGAGAACAGACACATACAAACGCCAACATGGCCTGCAGTGTTCTGAGACAGCGCTCTATGCTGAGTCCTCCTACAGGGACTCTGGCAGAGACAAAGGCTTTGCTGAGAAAAGTCTTGCACCTGTGGAGTCCCTCACCAGTGCTCTGTGCAGGAGTTGGCTGTATATCCCATCCTGCCTGACAGACAAGAACAGTAGGTACAAATGTAACTGCACAGAATTCAAAGACACAAAAAGTCAGCTTCTCACTGAATGCCAGGCGTCTGCTCGAAAAGGGAAACCCATATTGAGACAGTGGAAAGTGGGTTGGGAAGTGCTACAGGATTGTGGATCAGACATCACCACTGGCAGGCTGCTACTGATTTCTCAATGGAAGAAACCTTAGTTTCTCTTTAGTTTTCATTTTATCCTTCTTCAAACCATGATTGCTCAGGTAACTGTGCACCTTCTCATTGCCTGCAAGTTTCTGTAGTTCTTTTAGAAACTTCCATACCCATGGCACTGATAAAAAAATACATAAAGCACATCTGAAGCCAAAAAGAGTAGATTGTGAACACATAGTATTTTTATCCATTCCTTTACTCATTCAGTATAACTAGACTGGCTTTATAAACTAAGAAGGAAAATCCACAGAATTAAAAAAAAAAAAAAGTCATTGTGAATGCTGTCAGAAAAAGCCTTCTAGGACTGGAAAGATAGCTCAGCACACTAAAGTGCCTGCTTAGGCAGAGCACAGTGTCTGAGGTTCAATCCCGGCCTGCTGTGCTGGCCCTGCCTTCAGGGCGCGCTGAGATGGAGATTGAGCCTAGGCATGGTGGCGTGTGCCTATAATCCCAGTGCTTGGAAGGCTGAAAACAGGAGGATCACTACAAGTCTGATCTATGCAGTGAGACTCTGTAGAATCTGTAGACCCTGTACAAAAATCAAAAACAAACAAAAGATAAAGAAAAAGCCTTCTAAAGCTGGATTCCAGCTCAGTTTATCTAATTCAAAAAATCTAAACCAAGCACAATATTTGTTGTCCACTAAAGAGAGTTCTACAAGTTAGAATTTGTGACATGTGGTATAGTTAAACGAATTATTTCTTGTTTGTCAAAACAAATAGTTCTTGAGACCTTAAGTATGGCCTGGGATCCTTATGTTAATCTGAATTGAGTCAACTATCTGCTGAGAGTGGATTAAAAAACCTCATCGATAAAAGATATGCACCAGTCCTACTGCTACCAGTCTCTTACTGACTGGAGTCAATGATGAGATGAAGCCCACATGAATCAAATACTGCTTGTACCTAAATTCTATGTTCAACAAGGGAAAACATACTATGACCTGAAATAAACATATTTTTCCATGTAAACTGTCTTCTGTGCACTGTGATTTTTTTCTTAAAGGATGGAAGAATATGACTGTGTCTGAGATGGGATTTACAATTTTATTCCAACCAATTTACTTCCTGTGGTTAATTAAATCACTAACAGAACAGGAAGAGCACAAAGACTCCCTGCAAACAATGTCCCTCTATCAGGAGGCCCGGGAACTGGGTGTCTGGAGGGCTGACAGCAACAGCCACATTCATTAGGCTCCTAGCTGTCCATGAAAGAAAGATGCTGAGGGAGGATCTGCGAGTGCGGCTTAAGGTGATCCTGCAGCTGCATGTAACGGGCAAAGAAAGTTGTGCTCATCGCTGCACAGGTCCTAGACACCTCATCGCTGTATACAAGGGACTCATCCAAATCCTACTGTAAATGCAGGGAACCATGAGAGTCACTTGCCACAGCCTGTTGAGTGTGCCAGCTGCAGCTCTCTGTGCTTTTTCATTTTAATGAAGGCAGACAAAGCGGGCTCTCCACCACCCCATTCCTCCTGCAAAGCCCAGAGGAAAAAAAATGATGAGAGTTGTAAAACATTTTTCCTTTGTCCTTTTCTAAAAGGTAAACTTTTGTATTTTTCAGATTGTTGTGTCATTGACAGTACAATGACTTAAAATCTAACAGGCAAACAAACATAAACCAGTGTACATGGCTTGGATGCATGTCTCACAAATGGTTTAAAAATATTTTTACTACCAAAAGTTGAAAAAGAAGTGGAATTTCTGTCAGGTGTGAAGGCACATGCCTGTAACCCTGAGGCTGAGGCAGGAAAGTTGAAAGTTCAAGCCTAGCCTGGGCAAGTAAGCAATGCAGCAAGGCCCTGTCCTTTTCTTTTCTTTTTGGCTTTTGAGGCAGGGTCTCATGTAGTGCAGACTCATGTGCAACTTCCTGCAATCCTGCATCAGCCTTCCAAGTGCTGGGCTTACAGACACGCTCCGCCACATCTGGAATAAGGGCTGAGGTGTAGCTTAGAGAAAATGCCCTTGGTAAAAGAGAGAAGAGAGACAGAGACAGAGGTGGAAACAGAGTGACAAGAAAGGAGATGATAAGAAAATAAAAACAAGTGAAATCTGGGTAAAGTAATTCTACTAGCAACCACAAGGACAGGGAACAGACAGTAGTATTTCTCTTCCTGCAGCTACTGCTTTACCTTGACTTGGATAGCTAATTATATGAATTTGGACTCAATCTCAAAAATATTTATTAGGAGCCAGCTATATACAAACCTTCCCCCCCAAAGGATGAGAATGCTCATGGGGCCCACAGTGGACAAGGACAGTGCAGGACGGATGGAGCAGAATGGTGAGGAGGCTGTCAGGGTGGCTCCAAGGGGAAGGGCCGCATGGTGAGGGAGAGACACAAAGGACTCTTGCAAGGAAGACTGGGTGATGATGCATCTGTTCAGACACAGCATTAAAAGGGCACCACAGCCATGTCAACGGTACAGCCACAGAAACATGGCGGTCTTAGGAAAGCAGCAGGGAGCGGGAATGGCCGGGTTCAGGCAGGCTGCTTTCCTGAGGTTAGAGGACAGTGATGGTTACAGCCGGCCATGCGGGGCAGCTAAGTGAGCACAGATGAGAAGCTAAGGAGGGCAGATCCCAGGGCAGGGTGGAAGGGGCCACTGGCCGGGAGCTTCTCTGTAAGACTAAAAATCTATCACTAGAAAGAGCGCTAGACTGCCAGGAAGGTCAGGTTCCAGCTGGCTCCAGCTCTGGCAATAACTCACTTCCTGTATGACTTCAAGTAAACCCTTCACCTCTGTGAGTCTCATTTCACATCAGGGGAAAAATGAGTCGGACTATTTAACTAATTGATGAATTTTATTCTTATAACACGTGTGTACCATGGGGCTCAGGTCACAGATACTTTACTGTCTAAACAAGGGTCTTTCCAAGGTCAAAGACAGTACTGTTCATCATTTCAGCAGGACAATGGACATCACCTGGAACTACTGATTCTGGAGAAACTGAGAAGTACACTTGCCTCACCTGTCCACAACCTTCATCTCAGAAGAGACGCCTCGGACCCTTCTGTACATGGTGGTGGCCAGCATCTGGCCCATCCCGAGGCTACTTCCTTTGGGTGAGCATTCCGCACTCTTAATGGAATCAAGCCACTGAGCAGTTAGTTCTTCCAGGCTGTAGGAAGCTGAAGTGCTCTTGTGCCAAACAGCTGCCCCATCCTACTATTGCTTTTGGCGTTCTGTACTGTGTTCAGGCAGCTTCCTTCTCTACTGGCACAGTTTTTCAAAGAAGGTAAATATTTATGTATGAATTCTTTCTTAGGTGAAAGAAATGGTAGCCAAAGGGTAAAGGTGACTATCTGCAGTTCTGCAATTACTCAAAGCCCAAGTGAGAACACAAGTCTCGGTTTCAATAGACTGTCAATGGATCACATTAATCAGGTAAGACATAAAAGAGAAAAAAATCTAAAAAACCAGATACTAATCCACACATTTCACAAATCTTAGAAGGAACATGTTCTTTACAGACTTAAACTGCTCAAAATTGGCTAACTTATATGATAAAGAAAAGATAAATTTTTTAAAAAAGATAAATATTTGAGGAGACAAGAGTTTTGAACTTATTTAAACATGTATCAAAAATTGCACAGTATCTCAATAGGTATAATTTTATGTTTTTATGTGTCCATTAAAAAGATAAAAGAAACCAGGTATCCCAGACCTGACATCTGATCATACCATACAACAATTTTCTAGGCTTATAACCAGGCAATTGGTTTTTCAAGGAAAGCATGGCTTAGCTATAACGTATTTCCTTTCAACATTAGTGCTATTTTTTGTCTTATAAGCATTTCCATTTATTTGTTTCTCAACTGTAATTGAGGACAGAAGGGGGAGGAAGAAAACAACAGTCACTCCTTCTGTACTCAAAGGAGTCCGCTGCTCCTCTGCACCCTCTGGAATGTTCCCTTGGTATTAATTAGAGAACTACAAATATGAGTCAGACCCATGGGCTTAGGGGTGACATAACTAAATAGTCTGAGAATATGTCTGACTAAGGAAATGAACAGCCTTTCAGTCCATGGCAAGACCAAAAGGCAACAGAGTAAAACATGCTACAGAATGTCCCAGGAAAGGAACTAGCCTGGGTGTAAAAAGAATTGGACATATTCACTCCCTTGGAACAGTTTAAGAAACCAGCAGTAGAGATTTCATAAATTATGAATGAGACAGGAAAAACTCTGCTGCTGTGTTGGCTAGGCTTGAATAAAGAACAATCCTTGTAAACAGAGACAAAAGGAAAACATAAGGCGAAACCCAAGAATACTTTTACCATTTCTAACTAGGAGAAGGGGGCCTCTAGTTTCTCAGAAATTGCTAGTATCTCTGGATAAGTACTAATGTTCAAAGTGATTAAGCCTTTTACTATCCTTAAAGTCACATAAAATCCAAACACCCAGAATGTTAAATATTGCATGTTTTCTCTCATATGAGAAATCCAATTGTAAATAAGGAAGACTTTTTGGAGTAGGGGAAGGGAGGAAAGTGGAGGGGAGGGAAGGAAAGCAGAATGGAAAATTACTTAGATGTGTTATATATGCATGTGTTATATATGCATTCCCCAAATGGATGTAAATTTCATGTATTACAAACATATACCAATAAGAAATTTTTAATGTACAATGGATATTTACAATTTTAAAAAACAAATGCAGCCTATTTCTGTCTTTATTGGTTAAGGACTTTAAATCATTTTTAAAGTTGAAAACACTGTCTTTCTCTCCATCCTGGTCCTGTCCAGGTGGCCCTCTGGTCACCTCACAGTCTGCCAGGGCGGTGCCCAACAAGCCCTCCTGCCCAGAGCAGCAAACCCCAGAGCATGCTGGGAAGGCTATCAAGGGTTTCAGAACAGGAACTCTTTAGAGACTCTAGTGAAAGACTTCTTTGTCTTACAGACAAACATGTAAGGATGAAGCTCTTTTTCTTATTCATCCTTCATGTTCATTTGGAACATTCTAGACCCTTACATCAACCTGTGCTTAATTTTCTCTAGCTTTGAGAAGTTCTACTGCCAAGAAATTGTGTCAAGTGATGCTGTAACATTTTATCTTTTTTTTTTTTTTTTTTTTTGATGGAACTGGGGATTGAACTCAGAACCCTGTGTTTGCCAGTCAAGCACTTATCCTACAGAGCCATCTCCCCGACCCCAACATTTTATCTTGATGCCTTATAATTTTCACTTTTTTCTTATGTCTCTAATGATCCAGGAATACTGTTAATCTCTTTTTAAAAGTAGAGAAATCTTGCTGGATGTTTTTGTTTTGTTTTGGCAGAACTGGGGATTGAACTCAGACCCTTGCACTTGCCAGGGAAGTGCTTATTCTACCAAGCCATCTCCCGGCCCCTAGAGATATCTTGCTGGGTATGTGGCGCATGCCTGTAAGCTAGTCTTCTGAGGAACTGAGACAGGAGGCTTGAGCGCTCAAGACCAACCTGGATAACTGGTGATTTAGTGAAACCCTGTTTCAAAATAGAGTGGGGCTGAGTGTTTGGGGTTCAATCCTCCCCCTAAAAAAGAAATAAATAAGATAAAAACAAAAAATAATACCAGGGTTGTCTCTCTGGATATTTCCTTGAATATTTTTATTTTATTTTAATTAATTAGTTAATTAATTGTTTGATTTTTCAGTATTGGGGAGTAAATCTTGGGGTGTTCAAATTGAGCTACATGGTCCAGGGACACAGCTCAGTGGTATAGTGCCTGCCTGGCAAGTGCAAGGTCCTGAGTTCAATTTCTGGTATCAAAAACAAAATAAACTGAGCTAAATCCCTTGCTTTTTTAAATTTTATTTTATTATTTTACTTTGAAACAAGATCCTGGTAGATCACTAAGCTTCCTGGCTGAGTTTAAACTTGTGATCTTCCTGTTTCAGCCTCTGAGAATGCTACCATATCCAGTTTTTTCTCTAAGGTTTTGCTACAGTCCAAGGGTTGCTGTTCTCCTGTAGTCCATTTTAGTACTTCCTTCATGAGAAATTTGGAAGATGAAGGTTAGAAGACTAATGTAGGAGCTTAGGAGGGCAAAGAACCAGGGTATATTCTTTCCTTCCATGGCTCTGCTCTCTGAACCAACACAATGTCTGCCCACAATGAGCACAAGAAGTGGTTTCCATTATTCAAATAAATAAATGGGTCAGCTGTTTCTGAATGGATGATCTCTGGGGTGCACCTAAAATCTAACCGCCTTTCCCTTTATCCTGTGTGAGGACAGATGCCAGTCACTGCTATGGCCGGGATCTTCAGCAGGCTTTCCTAAACAGAATAGTATCTCATTCTGCAGTTTCTGGGCTTTCTATCTGAGAGCAGGTGACCAACAAATGACTTTAATTCCATTATCTAAGACAACTTATACGCTGGAGTCAAACCACTGATTCAGTCATATCCACTGAGATCGATGAGTCCTATTTTGTCAAAAATAATAAAATAATTTTAAATCACTCTGTTAAAACAAAAACCATACTACCGGATGCACAATGCGTCCATTAGGGCTGCTAGGTGCAAAAAATAACCACATCTATCTCTTAACATATTGAGGATCTGTTTGCAGCACACAGATGCCATGCTTGGTACTCAACAACAACAAAATAATAGCTACTATTTCTAGAGTCTGTAGACAGAAGGCAGTCAGGCAAGGTGCAGGGGTAGCTGCTGTTCTGTAAGCCTTCGCCTTCGCATACTCACTGTGTCTCTGCCCCTAGCAGCATTTCCACTTTCTCATTTGCGTGGTTGCTCAGGACTGTCAGAGTAAAGAGGTGACTGGCAGAGCTCTGTCTTGAATAAAGCATTGTGGAAGTGTTCTTCCCTGGAGAAGAATTAAGCTCTTCACTGTCACAAGATTCCACCAAGAGCTGATCTCTTAAGGAATAATCATTGACGTTGTAACTTTCTTCACTATAAGGAAAAAGGAAAAGAGTATGTTAATTATTCAGTAGATAAAACTATAACACTGTCAGTTTTCAAAACCCATTCTGGAAGAATGGACAGAAGGAAAGGAGGGAGAGAATAAACCATTTTCCAATATCAATTGGAATCTGAATTATATCTACTGATCGTAGATCAAGGTAACCTTCCCTAATTAAAACTGTTAATTGCTCTTACTGAATCTCAAGTGAAACCAATTTTTTTAAACCAATATTTTAAAATTCTAAGTCATCTAATTCACCGGACACTGTCCTGGAACTGTTGTAACAAGGGCGACTTGCATGCCCTCTGCTAACGTTCGGATTCGTGCCCCTTTCCAGCTCCATACAGTCCACCCACAGAATGAAGAAGGAACTGCAGACCCACCCACACTTGGGGTAATAAGCCTTCATCCCTGCTTCAAAAACAGCGTGCAGAGGAGAGAAGAGCCCCACAGATCTGCTGCTTGGCCCCCAACCCATCTCTTCCACACTCACAGCCGCACTACCTATTTCAGAAATGGCCCATGATGAATTCCGCCATATCTGTATCTGTTGATGCCAGGACCCTTCATTCCCCTAGACAGTGATAACTAATTTGAGGCACATGTGGTTTTTTTTTTTAAATCAATAAAATTGATACAGGGTCTTGCTACAGACTTGTGATCCTCTTGTCTCAGCTTCCCCAGTGCTGGGATTATAGGTATGTGCCACCACACCTGGTTTCAGGGCCAGCATGGCACAGCACAGCACGTGATACCAGGGATTGAACTCTGGTCTTGCACTTGCCAGGCAGGCATTCAGACTGCCATGCTATCTCCCCAGCCCATTTTTTTTTTTTTTTTTTTGTACCAAGTATTTTAATGATATACAGTGTTGATGATATACATGATTTAGACATTTTTTTTTTTTTCTGTAACTGGGGATTGAACTCAGGCCCTTGTGCTTGCCAGGGAAACGTTTATTCTACTAAGCCATCTCCCCAGCCCCTCTCTTTTTTCTTTTAAAGATAAATGATGTTAATTTTTTTTTTTCTAAACTAAAACTCCAGTATTCAGGCTTAATGGCAGTCTTGGAGCTCTTTGGAAAATAATCATGTTTTGGATTAGAATTTAAACATTCATCTCTAAAAGGTTAGCAATCATGGCTTTAGATTCTTGCATGGTATGTACACAACAGGGGATACTGAGGAGTGAACCCAAGCACATTCTCCCACTAAGCTACCACCCCAACCCCTTCTATTTTTTATTTTTGGACAGATTCTCAATCAATTGCCCATCCCAGCCTTAAATTTCTGATCCTCCTGCCTCAGTCTTCTGATTAGTTGGGGATTATAGGCCTGGGCACTGCTGATGGCTCCCTTAGACATTTACCCCCTTCTCCCTGTGAACATGCCTAATCCAGCCCCAATTTCTGCAGCTGTTTCCTGACTACTTGAATGTCTTGAGTGAGCACCCTTCCTTTAGGGGATCCAGTAGATCTCCTAAATCTCTAGTCTCTTCTTTGAACTGTCCCTCAATAAGTGTCTTCTAGCAGAATCCTGTCTCTCCCTAGAACACTGGGCCCTCCGAAGGCTCCCTGCCTACTACCTTTTCATTCTGCTTCTAGATGATACTTCCTCCTCCAAAAAGTTCTTAGCTTAGAAGCTTGAGTGATCTGTTTCTTAGATTATCTCCTACCCTGAAACACTCTCCATCCCCCCACATGGTTTCGGTACATCTCCAAGTAGAGAATTCTCCCATTACTCTGGTACCTCAGTTTCCTGACTTCATCTTCCCTTTCTGATTTTTTTCTTGGCCCTACCTCAACCATCCATGGTCATACCTCAGACTCTGTCACCACCATCAACTACAACCTCTCTGTAATCCCAGTGTCATAAACATTATGCTGTACCCACAATCCTGTCTTCCCAACTCATCTCCTCTAGTTCCAAATGTTAATAATTACTTCACCCACTAGTTCCTTTATTCGTTGACTCCATTTAAGAACAGGGCCCCTTAAGTCCCTTTTGTTTACTGATTCATACACCTTCTCTTGCCCAGTTTGGATTTCTTGGCATCTTCTTATAGTCACTTGCACACATTCCCATTTTCTTTGTTCTTTTTGTTTAGCAAATCCCAAGCCTAGTTAGATACAACTCACCCTTAATTCTACCTCTTTGCAGCTAAACTTGGAATTGCTCAATAAGTAACTACTGAATAAATGTTGAATGAGCAACACACTAATATTTTCTAGGAACACTGAATAATTACCTTATGTAACAATAAATATCTAAATTCAGAGAAGCTGACAGAAAAGAAAAATCCTTGGCTCTAGTCTAATACGCTAGAAACTTTACAACAAAATATTTTGTCCAAGATGGTTTTAAAAATCTAGTAGAAATCTGCCTATCAACCACCACCATGTAACTCTCCTTGGAAAACTCCTATCCTTTCTAAAATTTAGTTTGATAGATTCTCCCCTCATAAAACAGCACACATAGATATCCTCTATAAAGACAAAATACTGCCTTCAGATTAAGCCTATTTGTTGCTTGGGTCAAAATCTGGATCAATTCAAAGTTCACCTGACAAGATGGCCTCTGCCAAAAACCAGCATGTCTACACCCAGGAGCTATGAAATGCTTCCCATAACCAAATGAAATGCACCAAAGTACAGGTAAGGTTTACAAAAGGAGGGAGTAGGTAATATACTTTACATTTTTAAAAGACCATGGACTTCTGGGAAGATGGCAGGCAGATTGGTAAGCAGCAATAAGCCTCTTATTATTTATTTATTTCTGGAATACAGACTCTGGAAAATAATAACTGGGAGACTAAAAGAAGGAGATGGATCCCTGGAACCTCAAGAAGGATCTGAAGCAAAAACTGGAGACCACAGGAAAACTGGAGAGAACATAACAAAGGAAAGGACAGCCTGCACTTTCTCTCCAGCTCTTGGCTCCTGGTGAAAGAAAGGAAGATCAAATCTACAGAGACACAGCGAAAGTGGGAGATTCCCAAGGCCAGTAGAATGAAGAGAACAGTGGATACCGTGCACTTCAGTAGCTGGTGAGTGACTCCAATCTACCTGTCTGCTGAATTCCCTGGAAAATATGCTCGCTCAGATGTCATTTTAGGGAGGGGCTATTGAACTAGGGTCTTTGAGCAGCCAAGAGTGTGACTGCTTCATCTCAGGGCTATCCATGTTAAGCTCCCACAGTGACTAGATGAAGGACAGGCAAGGTAGATATCCATGGTCAAAGAGCTCTGGTCAGGCTGGCAAGAGACACCAAGAATGTTTGAAGTCAACAATTCATGGCCCCATCTGATGACCAGAGGTCAGGTTCAACATGAATTTAGGTGGAATGGGCCCCTGTCTTTTGGCTTGCTGGGATTATCCAAAATAAATGTGGGTTTTGACTGTTTCCCTTATCTATCGGTCTCAGTGGAGATATACCCTGGATTGGATAGTACCACAAAATTGTATACCCACAAGATAACCACAGGCTTGAAATCACAATGCAATTTCTTCTCTTTTGGCTTTTCATAGTACTTATTGTTTGGGTGTTTTTCCTTTTTTCTTTTTTGGTGGAACCGGGGATTGAACTCAGGCCCTTGTACTTGCCAGGGAAGTGCTTATTCCACTGAGCCATCTCCCCGGCCCCTGTTTTTCTTTTTTCTAAAATTCTTTTTAAAAACTTTTTGGCTTCTTTTTGCGAGTGTGAACATTATTTTACTTATGTTTTGCTCTGTTCTTGTTTTTGTTTTCTCCTTTCTTTTTCTCTTACATTCATCCTGTTTTCTGAGACTTGAGTAATCTTCTGCTTTTCAGCCTTGCTTCTAATATCTTTTGGTTGTTTCATTTCTTTATTATTTCCTTTTAATTTTTTCTCCCTGTAGGGTAAAATTGTTCTACTGAGTAGATAGTAGCTTTATATAATTTTTTGATTTGCTATATAACTATAGGTTTAAATGTGGCAAATTATTATTTATCACAGTTTATCACTTTCTACTCTGCATTTTATGCTATAGTTATTACTGATTATACTACTTTATCTAAGATAACATAGCTGTGTTCAATGGGTCTTCGTTGTACACCAATAACTAGATTGTTTTGGGAATCATAAATAATACTACAGCCAGTACCAAAGAAGTGGCTGTTAGGCCAAACGGGTTGCAACCTTTCATCTATACTAAACAGAAGAGGCAGGATAGTAGGACAGACTCTAAGGCCAAAAGCCAGCTACACTTAGAAGACATTACTGAAAAACAGTCATTTCCTTGAGAGGTCTTGAAATTAATAATACAGCTATCTACCATAAGCAATTTACAAGGCTTGGTGCAGAACACAAATAAACAAAAAATATATAGAAAATGAGAGAACACAGAAGGAAGATGGAATCCAACATCCCCAACTTTCCCCAGGGAAGTCCAGGGAACATTGAGGTGGAAGAAACAAAAAGCTACCCAACTAAACTTTCTGAAATGGTAACAGTGTCTCTTGATACAACCAAACCAAAACAACAACAAAAAACAAAACAAATAATTACACAGATGATTAAAGAGATGATATCCATGATGAAATAAATGGTTAGTGAATTTTAAGTATACAGATTTAAACAAAAACAGAGAAGCTTAGGAGAGAGAGAAACTACGAGTGTCCAACATGGGAAGAACTGAATGCTATAAAGCAGATTCAAAGAGATACACAGGAGAATAAAAATTCTATTGAAAGTATATGCAGCAGAATCAACCAATGTGAAGATAGACTTATCAGATGTAGAAGACAGTTGTAACTTGTGATTATCAAATGAAAGGCTTCTTGAAAACAGCAAGGTTCCACAACAAAATTCAACCCAATGCCTGCCGAATGATGCAAAGAAGAATCATATGATATTAATTTGAATAGCATAAAGATAGCATAAAGGACATAAAAATCAAATTTACAGAAAAGAGAAAAGTTTCGAAGCATGAAAGAAGAATTTTGCATACAGTAAATGAGGTATATAGG